TATATATATATATATATATTCCAATTTCAGTTCGAGAAGAAATAAGGTGTAAAAAGATGATAGGAAATACTGTGAAAAAAACAACAACTTAATTTTAAAGAAACACTGTTTTTTTTGCTTTCAAATCTCCATAAAAATCCCTGATGTTATTTTAAAAATTGTTTTATTTATTTTATGTTATCATTTGAAATAATATAAATCATTACAGATGGTATACACTTTATAAATTTAAAACACGTTATAAATAAAATATATATGTAAAAAAACGACATAAAAATCTAATTACTAATAAAAATATCTAAATATCGATAAAAACATCAGTGATGGCTATGATTAAAAAAAAAACAATGTGAGAACAATGTCCATATCTCAGTCTCTTGTCTGTCGTATATTGATCAGAGAAGGACGGTGTGCAGTTTGTAGAGCCGCAGAAGCGAGAGTGTCACATCACGTTCAGCAGGCAGGCATCTCAGCAGAGCAGCAGTGACGCGGCCCGCCCTCGCTGTCCCATATACATCTACAACTGCTCTCTGGACTCCCTCAAAGAGCAGCTGGTCCACCCGCGCTCCGGACGCCAGCCCAGAGACCTCTTCTTCAGGTACTGAAACACAAAACACACAACCAGACTCCTGTGTGCTGCGTCAAGGTCTGAGCTCTGTTCCAATACCTCCACAGCGGCCTACATAAACAAACAACAAGGTAGCATCTAATCACATAAGGAGCCTGTAATGCCCTACATTATCAATAAACATAACACTAAAACATCCGATGCTTTTAATAAAAGCATGATATTTTAATTTAGTTAATCTTTGTGTACTGTTAAGGATGTTTTTATCCACTCTGGGGTGATTTTGAGTCTGGGGTGAATTTGGCCACAGCTTTCTTTGTGTTTTAGCAAATGAAATTATTTTATTTCATTATGAATTATTTTACAAATTTTATTTACTCTATATTGAAAAGTTTTAACTCCGCAATGCACTCTGGGCAAATTCACTACCTTTTCATTATGTTGGTGGCTGTTTTTGCCCTATTGACTTCCATTATAATGACATTGCAAAGCCATAACCGCATATAATCATGCATTCTTGATTGTTGGTGTGTTTCCAGTTGTGAAGAGGAATGATTTTCTTTTAAAGGAGGGTGGAGCCTGAGAGCCACACCTACCTACACAATATCCACATTAAAGAAGGAGTCTAAGAACCACACCTACCTATTACAAAACTTAAATTTCCACATAAAAGAAGGAGGAGTCTAAGAACCACACCTACCTATTACAAATCTTAAATTTCCACATAAAAGAAGGAGGAGTCTAAGAACCACACCTACCTATTACAAAACTTAAATTTCCACATAAAAGAAGGAGGAGTCTAAGAACCACACCTACCTATTACAAAACTTAAATTACCACATAAAAGAAGGAGTCTAAGAACCACACCTACCTATTACAAATCTTAAATTTCCACATAAAAGAAGGAGGAGTCTAAGAACCACACCTACCTATTACAAAACTTAAATTTCCACATAAAAGAAGGAGTCTAAGAACCACACCTACCTATTACAAATCTTAAATTTCCACATAAAAGAAGGAGGAGTCTAAGAACCACACCTACCTATTACAAAACTTAAATTTCCACATAAAAGAAGGTGGAGCCTCAGAGCCACACCTACCCCATCATAGCCACAGACCAATGATGATGAGCTGTTTAGAGCTCTAAAGATGTCCTAATTTGAAAATGGTCATACCAGTTTGTTTTGCGATTTCACTTGAAGTTTATCTGTGGCTTTATGATATTGGCATTAAGATTGTAATTTTTTTCCTATCTTGTGAAGTACTTGCAATTGAAACAGTCCTAAAATTAGAAAAGGATTAAGAGCTATGCATGATTTTGACCTTTGAAAACTGTCTGGATTGTTAAAAAAAAAAAAAAGTTGGTAACAAAATGAAGGAAAATTGACAAATAGACAAAAGCAGGGCAGAATTGAGACACTGCTTATTAGACCCAAACGACTGATAGCCACAACCTAAATGACTGATAATCCCGCCCTAAATGACTGATAGCCCTGTCCTAAATTACTGATAGCCCCACCCTAAATGACTGTTAGTCCCGACCTAAATGACTGATAGCCCCACCCTAAATGACTGATAGCCCGCCTTAAAGAACTCATAGCCCTTCCCTAAAGGACTGATAGCTCCACCCTAAAGGACTGATAGCCCCACCCTAAATGACTGATAGCCCGCCTTAAAGGACTCATAGCCCTTCCTTAAAGGACTGATAGCCCCTCCCTAAAGGACTGATAGCTCCACCCTAATGGACTGATAGCCCGGCCCTAAAGGACTGATAGCCCCTCCCTAAAGGACTGATAGCTCCACCCTAAGGGACTGATAGCGCCTCCATAAAGGACTGATAATCCTGCCCAAAATGACATATAGCCCCGCCTTAAAGGATTGATAGCCCCACCCTAAAGGACTGATTCCTCCGCCCTAATTGACTGATAGCCCCGCCCTAAAGAACTCGTAGCCTCACCCTAAAGGAATGATAGCCCCACTCTAATTGACTGATGGCCCCGTCCTAATTGACTAATAGCCCATCCCTAAATGACTGATAGCCCCGCCTTAAAAGTTTGATAGCCTCACCCTAAAGGACTGATTGCCCCACCCTAAAGGACTGATAGCCCCTTCCTAAAGTACTGATAGCCCCGCTCTAATTGACTCATAGCCCCATCTTAATTGACTGATAGCCCCGCCCTAAATGATGGATAGCCACGGCCTAAATTACTGATAGCTCCGCCCTAAAGAATAAATAGCCACGGCCTATATGACTGATAGCCACACCCTAAATGACTGATAGCCACACCCTGAATGACTGATAGCCACACCCTGAATGACTGATAGCTCCGCCCTAAAGACTGGATAGCCACACCCTAAATGACTGATAATAATTTAATTTCATTGCGACTTTAAAATGTTGCCTAGTCAGGCTGCTTGCTATGTTTTGGAACAGAGTTGCTGTGTTTGCTCATCATGTGGTCGTCCTAAATATGTTTTATATGTGGTTTCTCTTTGGATGAGAATAGACCTCAAGAGACAGACACCTGGGAGTTCAATCAGCAGCCCAGATACAGGTAGCTCTGCTTGCTGCTTCCTGCTGCTGCTGCTGCTGTAGGGCTGTATTGGGACGGGGTTGGGAGGGTTAACAGGGGCCGCTTTTTGCCCCCCTCCGCACTGAAGGTGGTTTTTCTTTCCTTCTCTTTTTCTGAGGGATTTTGCTACTCTAGGGAAGTCACTGCAGTAATGGGAACTTTCAGATGTCTTGTAAGGGTATGAGGTCTTAAAATAATCGAAGGAAAACTTGTAAATCAAATCACTTTTATTGTCACATCATCAGCAGCACGTGTGCTATGAGTTAAAAGCGTAGATTTTTATTTTTTTTTTACTCAAAGTCTGATCTTCGATGTGCAACGAGGGAGCCAATTTCCCGAAGTGTGTGTCTGTCGTAGATAACGAGAGTGTGTACATCCAGCACGAAAAACAACAAAAACACAAGTAAAACACACAAAACACAACAAAGTTTGCTGGGAGCTCGCAACACGGCGGCCATGCTCGGCGCCATCTTGATGACGTGTTATATACTAGCAATGAAGCTTTGGGGTCAGTATTTTTAAAAATAATGCTTTTATTCAGTAAAAAGCTATTAAATTGATTTGAAGTAACAGTAAAGACTTATGCATTTGTATATCGTCCATTGAAGGAAGCATTAAGGTGATTTAAAAAACAAGTCTTTATTAAAAATGTAGCTTTTTTTTATTTTCCTTTTTTTCCAAACATTTTCTCCCCCCCCCACACACACACACACACACACATATATTAGGGGTGTCACGATTTCAATTTTTAATCGAAATCGATCGAAATTTATGCTCAATTTCGATTATCGAATAAAAAAATGGAATCGTCGATGCTGCCACGCCCCCATGTCACGTCAGCTTGGCTTGCCAAGTGGGAAAATAACAGGCTTGTTGAAGTGCTTGTTAAACTGCAGAAGCAGGAGACCCGTCGACAGAGCTTAAACCCTCTCCTCTTTCAATGAAGTCGCCGGTGTGTAAGCATTTTGGATTTCCAGTGAGTTATGTTGACAACGTTTGTGTTGTCGACAAAAAAAAAACAGATTTACAAGCTCTGCTATGTACGTATTACGTACGGTTCGTCCGATAGACATCGGCATCGCGATCCTCCGCCCCCCCCCGTTGCAAATCCGCTTGCGAAAAGTTCACACTCAGGCCCTGTTTACACTGTCTTTGTTTTTAAATGGCATTTTAGAACGACAACGATTTGACATCCACAGTGGCGTGTAGCATTTCTGAGCCGCCCTCCTTCCTCACTACCTCTGAAAATGCACATCACATGACCACACGGACACAGACGCACATACAGCAGGTCCAGGCAGTCAGAGGACTGCTTCAATCTTTCACTCACTTGTACTTTTTAGCGAACACCTCAGATACTGTTGGCTGGTTCCTGTTGGTTGTGCGTCTTTTTTACCGACGCCATTATAACGACACAGATCACTGCCTATGCACGAGTCCTGCAGAAAAAGTGATTGACAGGTGGTAATTATGTGTGTATCTTGCCTTTATTCATTTACTGTATGATTTGTTAATGGGTAAAACAAAAACCATGCAGGTCAGGTAGTTTAAACGGTAGGCTACAAATAATTAATTGGTCATTAATTAATTAATTATTCATAATCGAAAATCGAATCGAATCGTGCCTTTAGAATCGAAAATGTAATCGAATCGAGGATTTGGAGGATCGTGACACCCTTAATATATATATATATATATATATATATATATATATATATATATATAATTTTTTTTTAACTAATGTCTCATTGTTCTCAATTATAAATGACTTCTGACACATGATTTTTTTCATGTTTGCCTACATCAGTGATGCTTCTTTCATTTTTTTAATGCATAATAACTGAAAATTAGCAGTCTAAATTTAAAGGAAAACTCTGCTGATAGTTCTGCTTTGCCATTTAAGGAATTTTTTTTTCTAATTATAATATTATTTCACAAAAGTTTTATTTTTGATTAAACAACAGACGTTTTATTGTAATTTGGATCAAATACATGCAGACTTCTTTTAAAATCGTAAAACAAATTCAACAGGAAAAAAGTTATTGTTAATGAATCAGGTTCTGTCTAATGTATTTTAAGACCTCATATCTTAAAGGCTCCTAAAGGGTTTTCTGTGCTTTCTGTTGTTCAGTATCAGTCAACAGTTTGGACACTTGCTTCCTAAAGACCTTCTGGTTATTAATGGAAATGGAAAAGCAATAAAGCAGTATTGCATACATATCATAATAATGCACATCATTAGCTTTTATGATGAACAATGCAACAAAAAATGTTAGTTTTGTCTTGTTTCTAGTCCAAATGTCTACAAATTCTAAAAGGGGACCTATTATGCCTCTTTATACAAGATGCTAAATAAATCTCTGATGTGTGTAGTGAAGTTTAAGTTCAATACCACACAGATAATGTTTGATAACTCTTTGAAGCTGCCCCTTTTAGGCTTTAATTCTAGTTGTGCCGTTTTGGTGACTGCCGCTTTAAATTTAAATGAGATTCAAAAGAGGGCGGAGCTACAAATGCCTGTGTGTCAGCATAGTGGCAGATTCAAAAACAAGAGTAAAATCCTATGCTAATGAGGGAGAGATGGTCACTAGTGGGTGTGGCGTTTGACACGAATGTCAATCAAAGTGTTTCTGTTTTGATCGAGTGATTATAAAAAAAATAATAGTAAATTTTTACTGTTAGAAGCTGGTAATATTCACACACTGCTGCCACACAACCATATTTAAACTCCTTATAAAAGAGATTTTTGCATAATAGGTCTGCTTTAAATCAAGAAATATTATCTTGACGAGCAAAAATAGTCTTGTTTTCTGAAATAATAAATCAAAATTAAAGTAAATTTACAATTTTATCTTGCTTACACAATTTTTAAGATTATTTAGCTTGTTTTAACGAAAAACTCACTTAATTTGGATGTATTATTTCTGAAAACAATGACAAGACGATTGTTTGCTTGCCTAAAAAATGCTTCTTGATTTGATATTTGGACTAGAATCGGTCCTAAAACTAGTTGGCAGTGAATGTACGGGAGGTTTCATTTTTGTGTCATTTCAGAATGATTGTGTCTAAACCTTTGACTGATAGTGTGTACACACTGAAGTTAAGAGAGTAATCCCCTGCATGTAGACATTTAGGACATCGCAAGACAGTCATTGACATAGAAAATGTAAAATATAAGTCATGTCCTTTTTCTAACACAGGCTCATTGGGAAAGTGTGCCCTGATGTACAGAGAACCGAGAAATATGTGCTCGCTGGTACATATGACTGCGTTTTATATGTAAAATGAATGCTACGGGGCGGTACCAACGATCGCTTACTTTGGGAATAGACAGCTTTTCCAGGTTTGCTTTTGATGGCACTAGATTTGGGTAGCAGAGCTGAGCAGACCAGGGTTCGAGTCCGATAAAGGATTATTACATAAACCAGGAAAAAGGAAACCCAAAAAGCAGTGCGAGACAAAAGTAGAAGCTGACTTTTCTATTGTGATTTTCTTTTGAAAACACTATGGGTTGGGTTTAGGGTTTTGGGTATATCAAGTTGATATACTATATTTTACAACAGTTCTGTCTGGTTCTTGAATCTGATTGGCTGATAGCCGTGCAATATTCTGCCAGTAACAGCATTCGTCCAACCTCTTCACCCTTTACCCTTGTGTATTACTCCACCCACATACAGCAACAAGCAGAGGACACTCTACAGCTCGACAAATACTGCTGCTGTTGGACAACATAGTGTACTTTTGAGGCTTTTTTTTAGTCGAGAATGTAGTTGTTTATATTGGAATTATGCATTTTATGTATAAAGACAGTACCTATTTTTAAATATTTTTAATATCTTAGAGACCCGTCTGCGGCATTTAGCCTGTATTTGAGCAAAGACGGTTGATGATGTTCATCCACAAGATGGTGACAGAGACCGCAAAATTAGCCTTAAGAGAAAAACAGAGTAATTACTAACATTATTAACCGGTAAATTTCTTTCTAAGTCGATCTCCTTTTATGTTGTGGTGCTGTATTTATACCATAGTAGTATTGTGATTTCTTGATTGCTACAGAGAAATACTGGGAAGTTTCTGTAGACTGATGGCATTTCATGCCGTTCAGCATTATTATCTAAAAATGTCAGCACAATCACCTGTTTTGTCATCACTTTAGACATTACGCTAAGAATCATTCAATACTAGCTCTAAAGTGACGTTAGTGAACGAACAACAGTTTCTGCTGTTCTGTGAAGGAATGGCAGAAGAAAGTAGTTCCTCTTACAAAAGGGTTTTTAGGCTCTCCGTGATTGCTTTTCTTTTTTTATTAAAAGGGGCCGATATACAGCCACATCGCACTGCTACTCATGTGATATTGCTCATTTATGCACAACGACAAGCTTCTCTCACGAACATGCAAAAAACGGTAATACGCAGAAATATCTACAGCACCCTCTGGTGGATTTATGAGAAATGGCATGTATGAAATTAATGTATCTGAGAACGCCCTCTAGTGGATGGGTGAAGGCTCCAGTCACAGGATTCTAAGCCACGCCCCTCCTAACATTATTTTGCCATGAGGCACAAAAAGAAGTCCCGCCCCCTACTCCGTATTCCATTTCAGTTGAAAGTACCTCAACATATTTTAAGTCTAAGCACTTTGCAGTTCAAGCAGATTTTAGTAGAAAATTCGCAAGAAAATGTAGTCCAGGGTACATGTTTGTTGGTTCTAACAAATGTAGCCCTGGGCACATTTTTCCAATGAGCCTGGTTGTCTTTTTCTTTCATATAATTTTTTAAAAAATTTTTTCTCTGTGTTAGTGTTTGCACACCCCAATTTTATGGTACATATTATGCTGGTGTCCTCAACGTCTTATTTTTTTCCACTTTGCCTTTACTTAAAGTGCATTTTTCCTGCTCTGTTGACCACAATAGCGGTAAAGCCTGAGGTGTGTAATCTGGAGTATTGTTGCTTCATGGCTGTAAATGTGTTTTGCATGCTCTTAAAGCTGGTTTGATCCCGCTGCTCTGTGACGGGTTTAATATTTCACCGTCCTCTTCCACAGTGATATGTGACTAATATTTACATTTTGATTCTCATCTGGACTGAGAGGATAAATGTAATCCTATTGGAGTTATACAGCAGTGGAGTTATACATAATAAAGTAAAAACCTCAGATATACTAGTGCAACCAACATTGGTATTGCATATAAACACCATCAGAATCAGCATTAGGAAGTCATTTTCTAAAACAAAATAAATTAAATATGCTTATTATGTTTAACAGGGTTTGCGGTTACCTTTTTATGCACATAATAAAGTGGTGGATTATATATAGAGTCTACTGATTTCCATTTCACATAGAGGGAATTGTGCAGGCCTGGATTAAGAATTCAGAGGCCCCTGGGCACAATGTCTTGTAGGCCCTCTACCTGGCCACACACCTATAGTTTAATTTAAAAAAAAAAGATTATTGATTAATTCATTTTCTTGTCGGCTTAGTCCCTTTATTAATCCGGGGTCGCCACAGCGGAATGAACTGCCAACTTATCCAGCTAGTTTTTACGCAGCGTATGCCCTTGCAGCCGCAACCCATCTCTGGGAAACATCCACACACACACTTATACGCAATGGACAATTTAGCCTATCCAATTCACCTGTACCGCATGTCTTTGGACTGTGGGGGAAACAGGAGCACCTGGAGGAAACTCACATGAACGCAGGGAGAACATGCAAACTTCACACAGAAACGCCAACTGAGCCGAGGCTCGAACCAGCGACCTTCTTGCTGTGAGGCGACAGCACTACCTACTGCGCCACTGTTTTGGCCCTCACGATTATTATAATATTTTTAAATTAAAATTAATCTATAATGTATTGCCTGCATTTTTTAAATAAATGATATACAGTACAAATATTTCTAGCCTACAAATACTTAACTTACTATTAAAGCATTTAAAGCATACTTTAAAAAATATACTAATACAACTAGTAAAAAATTAGGGATTTTAATATACTTGTTCAAATTCACTAAAGCAGTACTAAAAAAAATATATTTAGGGGTATTTTTAATGTATAACTTCTATAAACTTATGATGCATATGATTTGGATATAACGCCTCTCCAATGCAGTTCTTTGAATCTGAGTCCTCCAGAATACACACACTTATTAATGATTCCTACTTGTCTTCCTCGTGATGAAGAGTAGGTAAAATCGAATATGTAGCGGGGGGAAAAAAGAAAAACGTGTTCATCAGACGCTGGATTTGAACCGAGTTCATAATCGATTGCGTCAAAACATGTTGCCATGCGCTTTACGAGATACGCCATTCATGCTTCTGTCATTTGCGCTTTTTATTTTATGTTGTCACCGTCAATCAAACGGGGATGGGCGTGAATCACTCAGCTAGCTTATTGGATTTAGCCTAAATAGACACTCCATATCTGCATTTCCCCCCCTCACAGGTGCCCCTATTCCGCACGGGCCCCTGGGCCTGTGCCCATAATGCCTATTGGTTAATCCAGCGCTGGAATTTTGTCAATATTTTACACCATAAAATGACTGCTCTTTAATATGAAGTTCAATGCATAGGCATACTGATACAGTTGAAATCAGAAGTTTACATGCACTGTATAAACAGCCACATAATCATTTTTTAAAAATAAAAGTCAGATGTTAATGTGACTAAACTTTTTCTCTTTTAGGTAAGTTAGGATTATCAAATTTGTTTCTGTTCTGCTTAATAGCAGAATAATGAAAGATATTTTCTGAGAAATTGTTATAACTTTTCTTGAAAGTCAAGTTCACACACAATAACATTATTATCCCTCTGATAAAGCTCAGATGATGGTGTCAAGGTTTTGGAAGTTTCTGATTGGCTAATTGACCACATTTGAGTTAATTGGAGGCACAACTGTAGAATAGTATTTAAGAAAACCTCAAACACACTGCTTCCTTCTGTGACAACATGGAAAAATCAATAAGCCAGAATCAACAAAAAAAAAGCCAGATTACAATTAGCTAAATTACACTGAAAAAAAAAATAAAAAAAAAAACGTTTGGAGACATGTCCTGTGGCTAAGATTGAACTGTTTGGCCATAATGACCAGTGTTACGTTTAGAGGACAAAGCGGAAAGCTTACAAGCCCAAGAACACCATCCCTACTGTGAAGTATGGGGGCGGCAGCATCATGTTTCACTTCACAGCATAGATGGCATCATGAAGAAAGAACATTATGTAGAAATACTGAAGCAACATCTCAAAACATCAGCCAGGAAATTACAACTTGGCCACAAATAGGTCTTTCAAACAGACCATGACCCTAAGCATACTGCCAAATTAGTTCAAATATGCTACAGAGTGAATGTTTTGGAGTGGCCATCACAAAGCCCTGATCTCAAGCCTATAGAAAATTTGTGGGCAGCGTTGATAAAGCTTGTGCGAGAAAGACAGCCTACAAATCTTACACCAATTCTGTCAGGAGGTATGGGCAAAAATTCCTTCAAATTATTGTGAGAAGCTTGTGGAAGGATGCCCAAAACATTTGACCAAAGTTACACAGTTTAAAAGCAAAAAAATCTCTAATTATTCTGGTGTTTAGCAAATGTAAATTAATTAGTTAATCCTAACAGACCTAAAATAGTAAACGTTTTGTATGATTTACCATCTGACATTTAGAAATAAATGGTTATGTTCCTTTTTTTAGAGTGTACTGTATGTAAACTTCGGTTTCAACAGTATATTATGCAATGCATGTCTGTGTGAGAACACATTGCTGCGCACACATATAAATTGCCTCAAGTAACTGCAAATAAAATGTCATATTAAAGTTGTGGTTTATTTTAGAAATTGCTTATTAATGATCATAATTTATTGCGGAATTGATTTGATTTATTTATTTTAGGTCGATCTCTCAGGAGCGCAGCACCAGCACCTCGTCCTCGACGGAGCACAAGATTCCACCGGTGCTGGCCAACTACCACAGCCTCCTGCAGGAGCATTACTACCACAGCTACGTCAAAGGTCATACACACACACACACAAAACAACAACAACAACAACACACAAACACGCACACAATGATGCATATTTACACAGACATGAACATTTTGTTTTGCATTAATTAATATAGAGACTAAAAATTAGCAATATACAGTTAAAGTCAGAATTATTAGCCCCCCCCTTAATTATTCTCCCCGCTTTTTATTTTTTCCCCAATTTCTGTTTAATGGAGAGAAGATTTTTTCAGCACATTTCTAAACATAATAGTTTTAATAACTCATCTCTAATAACTGATTTATTTTATCTTTGACATGATGACAGTAAATAATATTTGACTAGATATTCTTCAAGACACTTCTATACAGCTTAAAGTGACATTTAAAGGCTTAACTAGGTTAATTAGGTTAACTAGGCTGGTTAGGGTAATTAGGCAAGTCATTGTATAATGATGGTTTGTTCTGTAGACAATCGAAAAAAAATATTGCTCAAAGAGGCATTTTGTCCCTAAAATGGAGTTTTAAAAATTTAAAACTGCTTTTATTCTCGCCGAAATAAAACAAATAAGACTTTTTTCATATTATCAGACATACTGTGAACATTTGCTTGCTCTGTTAAACATCATTTGGAAAATATTTTAAAAAGAAGAATAAAATTCAAAGGGGGGCTAATAATTCTGACTTTAATAAAACTGTATGTGAGTGCCATAAAGGTGTCAAAGTTAAATATTTTTCTGCAAAGTCTGCTGCAACTAAAGCCTGGTTTATACTTCTGCTTCATGTGACCGGCGTAACCCACGGCGCATGCAACGCGCGTGGCTGTGCATTTATACTTCTGCGCGCTGTCTCTGTTGGTATGCTTTAACACTTCCGAAACGCTAGTTGGCAGTGAGGTGTAAATGTTCCTCTGTGTCGAGTTTCTTCGCTGGTGTTTTGCTTTTCCTGAACACTTCCTAAATGTACAAGTGGCTCAAACTCGCTCATTTTGAGGCAGGAACTGGCGGACGTGCAAGAAATTTAACTATGAGGTAAACACAAAACAAAACTTTCCATCCGGATCTCCCTCACAGGACTCCACACTTTTAAACAATCTCTCCATCGGGGTCACGCCATTTGCGCGGCTCTTGGTCCCGCCCAGACTTGTCAGCGCTACCAAGCCGACCAATCACAGAGCTTGCGCTAAGCGTCGTTGCGACGTGTAGTTACAATTTTTGAGAGGTGGACGTCAGCGACGGCCATGGCGTTAGGGCTATGCGTCAACGCCGTAGCATACGCGTGCATTTGACGCAGAAGTATAAATCAGCCTTAACATTATTGTTGTGACATTATCCTAGCATAGTAACCCCAGGGGGTTATTATAAAATATAATAATTGATCAAATATGATAATTCTAATAGTTTAATAAAATATATGAGATTTTTCGAAATCAAGCGGCCCCCCCCCATTGTCTTCGAGAACCACTGGTTTAAAAGGTGCTTTAAAACATTATTTATACATTTTTATAAAAACAATTTACTATTATATTAATAATGTAATTATAGTTACCAAATACTTGCTCAATAAAACTAAAATCCCTTGTTATTAGAGCTTTAACTCAGTTAAAATGAGTTAATTTATATCTAATAAAATGTGTGTGTGTGTGTGTGTGTGCGTGTGTGTGTGTGTGTGTGTGTGTGTGTGTGTGTGTGTGTGTGTGTGTGTGTGTGTGTGTGCTCATATTTAAATAATTTATAGATATTAACTTAAAAAAAAGTGCAAAATTTAGTTTGCGTTCATTTCCTGTCCAAATAAACACTAGTTTAAACTACATTTGCATATCAAAAAATCAAAATGTGTATATGGTGATATAAAAAATTAAAATAATAATAATTTATAAGTATTAATTGTAAGTTGACATTAATTTGTGTTCATTTCCTGTCTGCTGATGTTTCTGTGATTGATTGATTGACAGGTGTCTATCGCAGTCTGCAGCAGTCGTATAACGTGAGCTCTCAGGACGTCCTGACAGCCATGGACTACTGCGAGGAGTCGCTGCAGGAGATCGACATCACGTCCTTCCTGCAGACGCTCTGTGGACATGTGCGTGTGTTTCGAGAACGCCATGAGCTGCACGGCAAATCCAGCAATGGCCCCACAACCTTCATCATTGGGGAGGCAGAGGAAGATGGAGCCGACAGGGCCACGCTCGTGTCTTCATCCAGGTACCCATGCAGAGCAATGCATTCTGGGGCTTGTAGTCGTTTGGGTTTGTTGCATGGAGTGTATTAGTGGTTGCCCTTTTAACTTTTTTTTTTCATTGGGATTTTTTATTATTCATTCATTAATTTTCCTTCGGCAAATGAAGGGTCACCACAGTGGAATGAACCGCCAACTATTCCAGCTTATGGTTTATGCAGCGGATACCCTTCCACCCACAGTACTGGGAAAACACCCATACATTTTCACACTCACACACACACACACACACACACACACTCATACACTATGGCAAATTTAGTAATCTAATTCTTCTATAGTACATGTGTTTGGACTCAGGAGCAACCAGAGATAACCCACGCCAACACAAGGAGAACATGCAAACTCCACACAGAAAACTCTGTGACTCAAACCAGTGACCTTCTTGCTGTAAGGCGACTGTGCCAACCACTGAGCCACCGTGCCGCTTAAATGAATTAAAATGCGGATGTACACAGTCACAGAATTGTTTGTGTTTTTCTTTCTGAAAGTGTTGAACTGGAGGATGTGAGTGAAACCGATTCCAGAGGAAAACTCTCTGTTCCCCCGTCCCCGCTGAACCTGGACGAACCAAAGTCACCCAAAATCCCAGAATTCCCTCTGTCTCTTCTCCAGTCCCAGCAGAAGTGTGAAGTCTATCCTGATTTGCACAAAATCGTACAGGTACTGCAGACACACAGTGATGTGAAACAGCATTTCTAAAATGGTATTAATAATACATTAATAATCATATTAATAATTCTCAGAATAGCATTTTCAAGAGTTCACACTTAGCTCATGATTTCTACATAGCTTGTTTGGCGTGCTGTGCCGGGAGAGAGCCCTGAGCTCAAGGGATTCTCGGGCCCAGGGCTCCCCCCTTTCACAGAGCGAGGGGAAATTGAGCTCAGGTTGATCTCAAAACTCCCCCGCTGCTGAGGTCAAGGTGAACTTCCTGAGAGTAAGACATTAGAAAAAAGATTTAGGCTTATTTATCTATAATATAGAGCGTATTTGGAACCCGGAGGAAACCCACAGGGAGAACATGCTAACTCCACACAGAAATACCAGATGGCCCGGCAAGGACCCGTCGCCATTGGTATTCTTGCTGTGAGGCAACAGTGCTAGTCACTGGGCCACCGTGCCGCCCATTCTGACTAAAGGTGAAAGAAGGGGAGGAGGGGGGTTTCTTCCAGATGAAGATAGTTGTAGAAAGGAACTAAGGATATATATAGTGGTTGCGTCCCAAATCGCATACTTATGCATTATTCTACGCCATTTTGTTGTATAAATAGTGTAAGTAGTGTGTTCGCACTGAAAACTCTAAAAATAATAAGTGCACTTTAATTACCCGGATGATGCACTCATTCAGCCGATAAAATTAAGTGTGTAGTGATGGACACTTCACACACTCAACGACCACAGGTTTGCTTACATAGCGGAAGGGGCGGAGCTATCGGACGCACATGTTGGATAACTTTATTTTGGATGGTGAAAGCAAAATTCTCCTACGAGATTAATTATAGCGCCTCCCGATGGTGAATGTGGCAATACTCATAGCAGGTATTATTTGATACTTCGCTCGTTTATTTCACTGATTTGGCAACCTTCAAACGTCATCAGGGAAACGGTTTGAATTTCCGCTTAGTAAATAAACATAAGTGTGCCATTTGGAACGACACTGCATACATATACTATCCTGTTGAGTGTGTAAGTGCATAAGTACATAGTGCATGAGTGAATAGTGTATAGTGTGCCATTTGGGACGCAGCTAGAGACTTGGGACCCTTGATTTGAAGATCATGATTAGCAGATTAGCATAATTAGCAGATTAGCATGATTAGCATGATATGCAGATCACTTCTTAATCTGCAATTGCCTCTCTGGATAACACACTAACTGTACCCAAAAAAAAAAAAATTACTAATACTTTCCTTCTTAGACTTTACAGACCAGGGGCCTCATGTATCAACGCTGCGTACGCACAAAAACTTTGCGTACGCCAGGTTTCACGCTCAGAATAGCTCACGTTTGGATTTACTAACAATGAACTGAACGTGGGAATGTGCGCAGCTTCACGGCAGCTTTCTGGATGGCGTACACACATTTTTTGTGCGTGTCTGTTTTGTTTCCATTGGCGACTCCTAGAGGCAGTTGTGTTAAATTCCTCTCTACAAAGTGTCTGAGCCTTGCAGTGGCAGCTGTATGAGACGGGTTCATCTAGCAGGTATATAAGGTTTCCATACCATACAGTTGACCAGCTAAACATTAAAGCACAGTTTGCAGCAGTCGCCTGTTTTCCCAATGTAATCTGAGCGATCTACTGCACGCACATTGCTATAAAGACACTATCTGAAGATGAATTTGCATGCGTGAATCAGAAACATTTCCATTCAATAAATGTGCAAATAAAATATGATGCTTATTGATATGAACTTATTGATGATTCCTACTTGTCTTTCTCGTGATAAATAGTGGGCAAAATCTGATATATAGCGGGGGAAAAAAGAAGAATGACTTCATCAGACGCTGGATTCGAACCGAGTTCATGCTCGAACGTGTCAATACATGATCACATACGTCTTATGAGCTGCGCCACTGAGACTGCTAAGGGTACTGCAACATTTTACAGATATAAACCACACTATTTCTTTTTTAATGCACTCAGTGCGATGTTCAGACCCAACTGTGTTGACCGCATCAGCTAAACTCTCCCACTATATTTTTTTCTTTTGTTGTTAATTCCAGAGAACAAACTTGCAAATAACACCGCTTTTCTCCGGTCTACCTCCGAAAGCAGCACCTCCAATTCACATTCTGTTCAAAGTTTCTCTTCTTGCTTGCTTTTGCCGTTGCTTTTTCGTTGAGTTTTGCCATTAGCATAGTCATTAGCATATTCATACGGGGGAGGAGGCAGGGAGGGGTTTTGTGCTCGTGCATGTTGCGCTCAGTTTCACGTTCATTCAGATGTACAAAAGAATATGCGTGAGATTCGGCGTACGCAGTGTTTCATACATCTGAATTTTTTTCTGCGTACGCACATTTACAGCTTTGTGCGTACGCAATGTTTTAGTAAGATTTCCACGCAAGTCTTCGTACATGAGGCCCCTGAAACTTGCCTACAGCACTTATTCATTGTTGCTCTTATAGTTGTGTAAATTGCTTCCTTGTCCTCATTTGTAAGTCGCCTTGGATAAAAGCGTCTGCTAAATGTAAATGAAAATGTAAATGTAATTTGGGCCAGCTGGGTCAATCACGAGCATGTGCTTCTCTCGAAAATATTTAAAAATTTCACTTCACTTAATTTTGTTGATAAATCCCAGGCTTACTAAGGTGTGTTTTCAGTCATCTTTAATGAAATGTTGACTTTAATGAAATATTGAACTGTCTTTTAAGGTTTATTGTGTGGTTTGTATTGTTTTGTTTGTCTGTGTTTTGTACTATTGAATCTAGTGTGTGGAATAAACACAATGTATAATATTACGCATTCTGTTTGTGTTGCAGGATAAATTCATGGAAATTGGTGCTCAGTATTTCAAGACCGTGCCGTCCAATCCGCATTACTTCTTTTACTGCCTCCAGTCTTCCAAAAAAGAGGTGTGTTTAGCTTTATTTGTTTTTAGTAAGCCTAGTGTTCACTACCAGTACAAGGAATAAAAACATAAGGTCCCACTTTTTAGTAAGTGGCCTTAACTTGTATGTACTTACACTGATATTAAGACTTCGTTACAATGTGGTTATTGTGTAAATACAATTTTTAAAATTGCATCTATACTTGATTTAATACCTGCATTTAATTACATCTGTAATTAATTTCTGTAATTACATTTATACTTAGACTTTTGACAATCCTTTAAAACAGTGGTTCTCAAGTGGGGGTCGGGACCCCCCGAGGGGTCGCAGGACATTGAAGGGGGTCACCTGGTGATTTACAAAATTCTAATTATTTTTATTAAACCATAAGAATTACTATATTTTATCCATAACCTACTGAAGAGAAAAAAATAGTTGTTTATTGTTACTATATACTATATAGTTACTATAGTAGCTTATAGTCACTAGTCCTATTGGATTGTTTCCCCTGGGGTAATTACATTACATTAAAGACACAGCAATAGCTTCAGATGCAGCAGATTGATTTTATAACACCAGGTTAAACTTTATGGCACATTTACATCACTGACATACATAAAAAAACAAAAAAAAACAAAAATAGACTTGGGTTTATTGGTGTGTGTGCATCACTGCATGCAAGGTTTCTGCATTAATAACCCTCTCAGAGGATATCGGGGGTGGCGAATCACTGGCATTTTTATTTTGGGGGTCATGGGTTGAAAAGTTTGGACTCCCCTTTACCTTAACCCACCCTTAAACCTACCCATACCACCCAACCTGTCCCTAACCTAACCTATACTCCACCTCAAGAGCACCAGAAGTGTTCTGCAATACATTATGAACACAGTAAGTACATTGTATTTATATTTAGATGTAAGTGCATAGTAGTTAAAGATGCTTAATATAAAGTGGGACCAAAAATGGTCACACTTTACAATAAGGTTTATTCGTTAATGTTAATTAATGCATTATCAGCATGAACAAACAATGAACAATACATTTACTACAGTAATTATTAATGTTAGTAAACGTTAGTTAATGAAAATACAGTTGTTCATTGTATTTCATGTTAACTCATGGTGCATTAACTAATGTTAACAAGCACGGGCTTGAATGTTAATAATGTGTTTAAATAATAAAGTGTTTCCGCAAAATAATAATAAACATGGAATAAGTATATATTCACACAAGTAAATAAATAGTCTCAATGCCGATTTTGCTGATTATGAGTATATTTTGATAATATACTGTTCAGACAGTAATTGCTGCCTCTTTACTGGTCTTCAGGAGGACTCGGACAAAGAAGAAGAACGAAGGCCCAGTGACGAGTGTGAGCTTTCTGAAGCTGAACTGGCCACAGAAGATGGTAACACCACTCTTACACCTCTAATACACTAAATATAGTCAATTACATGTCACAAATATCTTCATATCTTGTCAATGTCTATTTTATTTATATAGCACTATTTAACGCAACCAGAGATTGACCAATGTGCTGCACAGTACAAATCAAAACAGAGGAGAAAAAAAAAAAAAAAAAAAAAAAAAAAAAAAAATATATATATATATATATATATATATATACACATATATATAATTATAGCTAAAACAGGTAATTTTCACTGATAAAATGCCAAATCAAAGAGGTAAGTTTTTAACAAAGATTTAAAAACAGCCAGGGATGAAACAGATCTAATGCTGCGTTCACACCAGACGCGGCACGCGCGTCAAGCGCCAGTGTTTTACATGTTAAGTCTATGCAAACGCGCGAATAGACATCCTGCGGCACGATATAGCTGCCTATATAAGTTGTAGTCAGGAAAATAAAGTGGTTGTGCTCCTCTTTAATGTAACTTTTGCATTGCATTGAGGATAACAGAATTCTGTGAATCGATTATTCATTTGTATCCAATAAATCATTACGATTTTTGACATTGAAGAAAAACCTCTCCCGACCTTTTTTCTTGATTGCGCATGGAATTGATTGAATATTCCAACACATGACAGGGTGTCAAACAGTCAAAAATGCAAATAATGTGATGTGTGTGTTTGTGTGTGTGCGTGTGCGGTCCTTTACTGACAGCTGCGTGTGGATCATGTCAGAAAATATGGCAAAGTCCTACATGAGTCATGACGGTAACAGTTTGATTGCGGTGTTTACTTCAATAATGCTACTAATATCTGCATACTCCACGTGTCTTAATTCCATTTCTGTTTAGTTCAGTTAGAACTTAAGTCGGATTAAGGTCATCAAAAATGATGCTGTTTAGAGCTTATGTAGGCCTACAGTTCAACATTCATGTTTAACTGAAAAACAGTTGGTAAACACAAGCACATCTTATTGACCATCATTTATTTTCATCACCAATTATCATAGTAGAACAGTTTCTAAGGCAGTTTTTGATGCATTTTGGAAACAGGAGATAAGCCCCTGGTTTAATGCGCCACCTGGCTTGAGAAACCCGTTCTCAAAGACTTACTTTTAGTCATTATTTGGGTAGCACACATATGCTGAATGCCTTCAGCAGAATTCAAATGAGCCATCTTAATCTAGATTAATACCAAGATTAAAGTGAGATTAATCTAGATTAAAAAATGAATCTCTGCCCACCGATACTTGTTATTAAACATGAAGCTCTTTAAAACATGTCACGTATATGTAATCTGTGTGTGTGCGCAGAGAACGTGTCCGGCTGCTGCATCGTGACAGAGAGCGATACAGATCTGGAGGTGGAGTATCAGGAATGTGGGAACGTTAAAGCGGATGCTGGAGAAGCAGAGGGAGCCGCAGGTGAATCTCCGTCAGACTCCAACACGGTGAACCAGGATGAGGACTCCTTCAGTATTCTGGATGGAGACTCTCTGCTGGAGGTGGAGAGTCCGCAGCCGGAGCTCCCACCACTGTTTGTTCATCTCACCTGCTCCGTCAACATGAAGAGCAGCCACGGCTCCATGCCCACGCAGACACTGCCAACCTGCCTGAGTGAGTACAGAACACGATCCTTTAACAGGGTCACACCAACAAAAGCAGCTTTAATGATCACAGTAAATATATAGTTGTTCTTAATGTACAGGGTGGGCCATTTATATGGATACACCATAATAAAATGGGAATGGTTGATGATATTAAGGTCCTGTTTGTGGCACATTAGTATATGTAAGGGGGCAAACTTTTCAAGATGGGTGGTGACCATGGTGGCCATTTTGAAGTCGGCCATCTTGGATCCAACTTTAGTTTTTTTAAATAGGAAGAGGGTCATGTGACACATCAAACTTTTTGGGATTTTCACAAGAAAAACAATGGTGTGCTTGATTTTAACGTTACTTTATTCCTTTATGAGTTATTTACAAGTTTCTGACCACTTATAAAATGCCCATTGTGTTGGACTGTCAATGCAACCCTCTTCTCCCACTCTTCACACACTGATAGCAACACCACAGGAGAAATGCCAGCACAGGCTTCCAGTATCCGTAGTTTCAGGTGCTGCACATCTTGTATCTTCACACCATAGACAACAAAGATAGTGCGGCCATTCTTCATCAATGGAAACCTCAAGGCCACTGGATATTTGAAATTGCTCCATGATGATGTGTTTCCCTCTTTATGCACTGAAGCTGGCACATTCCCTGAGTTTTTCCAGCAAGATGGTGCACCACCTCATTATGGCTATCAGGTCCGAGCATTCCTAGATGATCAGTTTCCTGAAAAGTGGATTGGTCGTTGTGGGCCAGTTGAACGGCCCCCAAGGTCTCCCGATCTGACCCCTTTAGACTTTTATCTTTGGGGTCATCAGAAGGCAATTGTCTATGGTGTGAAGATACAAGATGTGCAGCACCTGAAACTTCGGATACTGGAAGCCTGTGCTGGCATTCCTTCTGCGGTGTTGCTATCAGTGTGTGAAGAGTGGGAGAAGAGGGTTGCATTGACAGTCTAACACAATGGGCAGCACATTGAACACATTTTATAAGTGGTCAGAAACTTGTAAATAACTCATAAAGGAAAAAAGTTACATTAAAACCAAGCGCACCCTTGTTTTTCTTGTGAAATTCCCAATAGGTTTGATGTGTCACATGACCCTCTTACTATTGAAAAAAACAAAAGTTGGATCCAAGATGGCCGACTTCAAAATGACCACTATGGTTACCACCCGTCTTGAAAAGTTTGCCCCCTCACATATACTAATGTGCCACAAACAGGACGCTAATATCACCAACCAGTCCCATTTTATTAAGGTGCATCTATTTAAGTGGCCCACATTGTTCATTTACTACATCTAAAATCACAGTTCTGATGTTGTGTTTCAGACTTTTATCAGGTTTCTGTGCTCAAACTCCACCAGTGTGCAAGACTAGTTTCCTCCACATCTCATCCAAAGCCTTCTCTTGTGTTTTGATGTGATTTTGTTTTGTTTTTTTTACTTTTGTAGACTGTGAAAATCCCTGTTTTGACACTGAATAATGTAATGTTGAGCACTGCTTCTGTGTGTTTGCAGGCGAGATCATCTCCTGTCTGGAGAATGCAGAGAGTCTTCAGTCTGTGGATCTGAATGAGCTGTCGGTCACTCTGGATATCTATGTTCTCACTCTGCCTCTAGAGATCGAGGTTTTGGCTCCTGACGCTCGACACATCAGGTATGTGGAGTTCCTTATTCCGGGTCACTTCCGGTGTAGTACATTCCCTTTCCGTAAGGAATCTGTAATTGTAAATTTGTTTCAGGACTTGTAAAAGTGTTTTGCGTCTTGGTAAAATAGTTTTTCCTATGTAATTGTGTCTGATGATAGGTGAAAATGTTTTTCAGAATTTTAATTTGTCTCGAGCTTTGTAAAAGCGTTTCACACTTGTTACGACCTCAAAAATGTCTAGGGCTGAAGTCGAACATAAAAATTATAGGGAAAATAAATAAACAGTAGCAGGTTTGATTTTTAAATGACCTTTAAGGTTCTTTTATTGTGAGAAGGTGGAAAAGGTTTGTATTTACAATAAACAAATAAATGAGCACAAACAAAAAGCTTCAGGGCTGAGCAAGGCCAAAATAACAAACAAAACATTTACTAACTCCACCCTGAAGATAACTTACCTACTGAATCAAAAGTAAATGAAGAAAATAAATTACAAACACTACCCTTACTCCTTAACTAAACGAAAAAACAGGAGAAAATGAGCTCAGCTCACAGCTTTATCAAACGGTACTTGACAATCACAAAAAAATTGGAGGGGAGAGGAAAAAGGGAGAGAACACCTTAATGTTCACAATTCATAAACAAACAGAAGCACTATGATACGTTTTCCACACAAACGCCACACTCTTAGAAAAACTCTCCGTCTCTCCCCCCAGCGATCTGACTCCGTCGGTTCCTTTTCAAAAGATGCTGACTTCTCCCAGCACCAACCACAGCGCACGCACGCAGCACGTCCAATTAGGGCGGGGTAACCTGGAAACAGGAACGGGACAGGACGAGAGAGGGAAAAAGAGAGACACACCCACACAGCAGCACAGAAACAACCCAATACGCTCTTGCGTAACACACTTTATAATGTTGTTTTGCACTTCCCGGCCACCGAAATTTCCAAATAAATTTGAATATTGAGTAGGGGGCGGGGTTTTATTTTTGTGTTTCTGATCACATTTGTTATGCTCTCAACATGTCCTCGTACCTCCTCCATTATTTCTTAGCTGTTTCTGATGCTTTTCGTTTCTCTCTGTTCATTTACATCAACAAAAAACAGAATAAACCCTAGAAATCAAAGTCTGAATCAATGAATCACTAATAATAATTATTTTTGTTACATTAAAGGGGACCTATTATACAGTAATCACATTTAAAAGGGGTTTAAACACAGTTATTTGTTAACAATGTGTCAATATAGCCAGCTTCTAATGGTAAAAACGTGTTAATGCTATTTATTATAATCACACTTGCTTAAAACAGTCTGCAGAAACACTGTGACATTCTCCGTTTGTAGGTGTCATCAGAGGGGGAAAGCCCCGCCCACTAGTGACCATCTCTCCCTCATTAGCATAGGACATTAGTGCTGTTTTGAACCTGCTACTATGCTGATGCTTCTGTAACTCCGCCCCCTTTTGAAAAGAGCACAATCTCATTTGAATTTAAAGTGACAGTCACCAAAACACCACAATTTGGCTCAAAGCCTAAAAGGGGCCATTTCAGAGAGTTATAAAACATTATCTGTGTGGTATTTTGTCACTACACTCACTCTAGGGACATGCTATTTTACATCATTTAAATCATTGTCCTGTTTTTGCAGGAACACATCTGAGAGCAGCGTGTCGTTGAATCGTTCCCCTGCTCAGCCTTCATCTTATCGCTCTGATGAGGAGCTCATGGGGAATCTGGACGGTCTGCGGGTCGGTGAGGACAGGTGAGCAGGGCAATCACAGGCAAATCAGTGGTAATCATCATCTTCAGCACTGACACTGTGTTGTTTTACTTCTGCAGTATGTCTGGAGATCCACTGTCTAAACTCCCTGTACCGCACAAGATGGCTGTTTTAGCCACTATGGATGAGGTCAGTGTGAAAAATGATTTTATAGCAATTTTCACAAGTATTAAATTCATTAATTCATTTTCCTTCGGCTTAGTCTCTTTAGTCATCAGCAGTTCAATTCAAGTGACAAATGTTTTTATGACTGTAGCCAAGATTTTATTATTAATAATAATAGCAATAATGCTAATAATAGTAAAAGTTTTTAGCATCATTTATGTACTACAATGTTTTTATTGATAAGTTTTTGTTTTTTCAATTTTCTTCCATTTTTTCAAGCTTTGTTTGCTTTATATTTAAGGCAGTGGTGTCTAAGCTCATCCCTGCTGGGCCCGTGTCCTGCAAAGTTTAGTTCCAACTCCAGTCAGACACACCTGGGCTAGCTAATTAAGCTCTAACTAGGCTTTCTAGAAACATCCCTTCAGGTGTGATGAGGCAAGTTATAACTAAAATCTGCAGGACGCCAGCCCTCCAGGACTAAATTTAAACACCCCTAATTTAAGGCAACCATACATTCCCTTCTGATTCTAGCTAGTGCTAATCATCTGTTTTCTGCATCACATCCGCTGGCTGCTGAACAATGAGATTTTCTTAATTATTTATAATTTTGAATTGCATTATAGGATGTTGATTTTTCTTCCAACAACTTTAAACCTTGAAAAGTAAAAGAAAGTGACTTTTTTATTTTTAGATTTCCTATTTTCATAGATATTGTTAACATATTTCTTTTTCTGGAGTTTTTATTATTCTTTTTTATTTCATAATTTAAGTAAAAATATAATGTCACGTTGGTCATTTTAAAGTTTAAGTTTTTTTTTTTTGATATTGTTATTTCATATTTGTATGTTTTATAATTATTGTTTTTTTTTTAATGGTTCTTTTCAATTAACAATAATTTTATTCTAGATTAGCATCTGTCTCTGACCAGTGTTATTTTAGTATTATTAAATGATATTCTAGTTACCTTTACTACTTCTGTATTATTATTGTACGTTTACAATTTTCATTGTACATTGCTACATTAATATTTAAAATTGTTAAATTTTCAGTCTTTTGTTGTAATTTTTATTATTAACATTTAAATATATTTATTTTTGTTCATATCTAAATACATTTTATTATGAATTCAGATATTTGAATTAATCATATATATATATATATATATGTATTATACTATTCCACTATGCATATTATTCATTCATTTATTAATTATTCTGTAACCAGTAACTATTGACATATCCATATATTTCAAAATATCTTCTTTTGATAAAAAATAAATGAATACATAAATTCAAACAGGTTTGGAACCAGCGAAAGGAGTAAATTTGGTCATTTTAACAAAGGGAGTAAGCAAAGAGCAAATAAAGAGAGTGAACTATCCCTTTGTAACTTTGCATAACCTCTGGACAACTGTACTTTCTGTTATTATTGTGTCTTTTTAGTGTAAAGTGCTTTTAAAAAGTTAGATTTTAAAGGTGCTATAAAAATATTATGATTAATTTGAATATTTGGTCCAAAGGTGCACATTTTTTTTCTGTAATATTAATTATTCCCTAATTTTTTGTTTTTTCTATTTTCTTTCATTTTTTTTCAAGCTTTGTTTGATTTATATTTAAGGCAGTGGTGTCCAGGCTCGTCCCTGATCTTTCTTCCAACAACTTTTAACCTTGAAAAGTAAAAAAAAAAAAACTCATGAAAACTTTTAATGGTGTGCAGTGCTCTATTGTCTAGGTTGGTGTTGTATATTACACTACAAAAACCTTGTAAGTAAACTGCCTGTACATTTTCTGGCATTTTTATGCATTAATTTCTCTACATATTATTTCTTATACATTATATCATTTTTAATCTACTCAAATGCCAATTAAAGTCACTGCAGAGTTAAATTTTCATCATCAAAATAAGACAGAGCAGAGATTAAAATCCCATAATGCAATTCTCAACCGTTAATAAACCCTTGTGAATCACTTAATACAGAAACAGTCATTTTTTTACAGTGTAGTGCTAATCATCTGTTCAGATCCGCTGGCTGCTGGAGGATGAGATGGTGTCTGCTCTACGTCTGTCTTCAGTCATCAGCTCCTCCACGCTGCAGAAAGTGTCTGATCATGTGCGGCGCTCCAGCGGACGCCCGCAGTGCCTCTTTGAGATCGTCCCCCTGAAGTTCGTCTTCGGCCCCGAGCAATCGCTGGAAAAGTTTCAAGAGGTTTGAACTCGCGCAGTCACCTCTATTATTGCTGATAAGAGCGCGCAGGGAAAGGTCAGGAAAGAGATTATGTTCTGCCCCGCTGTTTAATAACACGTCTGTGCTTCCGCGCCGCAGGAGTTCAAGAGGTTATCGCTGGCCGGTTACCTGCTGAACGCGGAGCAGCACAACTTCCACTACGTCTCTCTGAGTCGCCAGCAGACGCACAAGATCCAGACGGCCAGAGAAATAAACATCACTGCTGAACACGGGACAGTGCAGAGTCTAGTGGCATCCGCAAACATCTGCACTAAAGAGCTGGAGCCGGAGGTGATTATTAATATTCATTCATTTTCCTTCGACTTATTCACTGGCTTATCAGGGTTTCCCAGAATGGGGTGAACCGCCAACTACTCCGGCATATGTTTTACGCAGTGAATGCCCTTCCAGCTGCAACCCAGTACTGGAAAACACCCATACACACTCATTCACACATCCACACACATTATTGCCAATTTAGCACATTTATTTATTTATTTTATAGCGCATGTGTTTGGATGGAGAGAACATGCAAACTCCATACAGAAACGCTAACTGGCCTAGCCGGGACTCGAACCAGCAACCTTTTTGCTGTGAGGCAACAGTGCTAACCGCTAAGCCACCGTGCTGCCCTTGATTGTTACTATGAGAGTTGAAAAAACTTTGAATTCGCTCAATGTTTATTCACACTCAAGTGGTTTCCAACCTTCATGGGATACTTTTTTCTGTTGAACACAGAAGAAGATATTTTGAAGAATGTTGGAAACGGGTAACCATTGACTTTCATTTTAGGAAATAAAATATTATGGGAGACGATGGCTACTGGATCTCATAATTTTTCACAAGATTTTGCTTTGATTATAATGGCATTCTTACTTTAGTGATGTTATTGTTGCTATTGTTGTACAAAAGAGCTGGAGCTGGAGGTGATTATTAATAGGAGAATTGACAAAATGTGTTTATTCACACTCAAGAGGTTTCAAATCTTTTTTCATTGAACACAAAAGAAGATATTTTGAAGAATGCTGGAAACTGGTAACAATTGACTTTCTTAGTAGGAGAAAACAATACTATGGGGGATAATGGTGGATTTTTCAAAATATATTGCTTTGATTTTAGCGCTATTAATACCTTATTTATGTTATTGTTAAAATTATTCATAGAATAATTATAATTATTTATTTAAAATAGTATATTTTTATTTTATCAGTATACATTTTTTATTTAATTATTATGAATTCAGATATTTGAATTAATCATATATATATATATATATATATATATATATATATATATATATATATATATATATATATATATACATATATATATATATATATATGTATTATACTATTCCACTATGCATATTATTCATTCATTTATTAATTATTCTGTAACCAGTAACTATTGACATATCCATATATTTCAAAATATCTTCTTTTGATAAAAAAAAAAATGAATACATAAATTCAAACAGGTTTTTAACCAGCGAAAGGAGTAAATTTGGTCATTTTAACAAAGGGAGTAAGCAAAGAGCAAATAAAGAGAGTGAACTATCCCTTTGTAACTTTGCATAACCTCTGGACAACTGTAGTTTCTGTAATTATTGTGTCTTTTTAGTGTAAAGTGCTTTTAAAAAATTAGATTTTAAAGGTGCTATAAAAAAAAAAATATGATTAATTTGAATATTTGGTCCAAAGGTGCACATTTTTTTTCTGTAATATTAATTATTCCCTAATTCAAATTCGAAAGAATTCCAGAATGTCGGTATTCAGCGATATTGACAGCTCTAGTGCCTTGTGGAGTTGTTATAGTAGTGCATGATTTACTGCTGTCTCACAGACCCAATATACTCATACACGTGTGTTTCTTTCCTGAACATCTGTGCTTTCCTCACAGGGTGCGTGTGGAGACTCACAGCAGCTTCAGCATGCGGTCAGAGATGATGAAAACACACGAGCGGCGGCTCCAGACTCTGCCAGCGAGTCTCTCTCTGAAACCTCAGACAGTGGATTGGTGAAGCAGAGCGATGTGGAGGATCCTCCAGCTCACCTGCAGACGGCCAGCAGCACTGAACACACCACTCCTCCAAAAACACCCTCTGCTGCCAGCCTGGCCGAGTCTGTGCAGTCCAACACACACAGTGAGACAACAGTCACTGCCAAATGAGCCTCCTTTAAAAGTTATTGGGCCCTATTGTACACCCGGCGCAATGTGGCGCTCGGCGCAAGAGTGGTTTTGAGGTGTTGAGGTGTTTAAATAGCAAATGCATTTGCGCTCATATGTGCACCCATAGGCATTCTGGTCTAAAAAAGCAGGCGTGTTTTGGCGCGTTGCTATTTTGAGAAACTATAATAGTCTGTTCTTTAGACCAGAACAAAGCCGGTCTATTGTCTGGCGCAAAGTGCACCTGGCTTACACACTGCTTAATATACACAAGATGTAGAGCAATACGCAAATATCTTTACATATGAAAAATAATGAAAATATTAAGGATATATATAGGATATAATAAGAATAGATATAGGATATAAATATAAAGGATTAAAATATTACAAAACATATTAATTTTTAGCCTACATGAATTTAAAAACCACTGCCTTCATACTTTCTTCATCTCGGGAGGCTTTTTTAGTTCATTCAATTTGCTTTTGTATGATGTTATTATTATTATTAGCAGTATTATTTATTATATCGATATTTATATTTGTTTTATTAAAAACAAGCTTAGATTTGTCCACATGTCAGGTTTTAGACCATATGGGGCACAGCATGTGTTTTAGGATATAACTCAGGTTTTTGAACACATTTTGTTATTATTGTTCATTTATTCGTTTGCTGGAAATTAGAACTGAGTTTAGAAATAGTTTTAAAGCAAATATTTGCGCTTAAAAAATGAAATTAATTATTTATAGTCTAATTGATGTCTTTGCGTACAAGTTTCCCTATCCACGAGAGTTAAAGTGAAAGTCGATAATGATGAGGCCTTGTCTCTCATTCTCGCGCTGCAGATGCTCTGTTTAACGGTTTTCTTGCTAGTGAAATGCTCAGTTTTTCCACTTTCACTTACTTTCCGTCATGTAAATAGCAAATGCGCTTATGGTGCGACGCATCTGGCTCTTGAAGGGAATGGGAGATGAGAGAGTTTATTCTCAAAACACACCTATAACTCATTAAGAAAATAAACTCAACCCTTTTAGAACATGCGCCACGGCGCAAAGCGGATTTTCCCATTTTTATATTAGTAAAATGCATTCTGACAAGTTTTGCGCTTTGCAAATGGACCGTCAAAATATTATAGTAAAAACATTATGTTAGTATGACTTTTTAAATAATTAATTATTAATTTGGGAAATTTAATGACTATATTTGGAAGTTTTTACTACTGTTATTCATATAATTATTAGAATTGTTTTTGTATGTTTGTTTATTGCATTTTGTTACAATTAGTGATTGTTTTATTTTAATTAGTTTACTAATCTTTTGTAATTATAGTTTTTTTATTATGTTAATTTTTCATTTACGCTTTATTATAGCTGCATGCTTATTATTTATTGTTATTATTATAATTGTTGTTGTTGTTATTGTTGCTGATGAGGGTAAATATTGGCAAATTATTGAGCAACTTTATTACATGCAGTGTGAAAGCTTTATGATCATTCATTCATTCATTTTCTTTTCGGCTTAGTCCATTTATTAATCCGGGGTCGCCACAGTGGAATGAACCGCCAACTTATCCAGCACGTTTTTACGCAGCGAATGCCCTTCCAGCCACATACCAACACTGGGAAACATCCACACACACTCATACACTACGGACAATCTAGCCTACCCAATTCACCTGTACCGCATGTCTTTGGACTGTATTTCACTTCCCTTAGAGCTGTGCTACACACAACACGGAAGGTCATTTTCAAAAACCCATGATAAGGGATATTTAAATATTAAATTAATTAAATATTATTTAACTATATATTTAATAAAGAATTATTGTATATTTAGTTTGACTAAGTTTTGATTGCTTTATGGTATGTAGTTTTAGAATAGAACTGCTAACTGTGTTTGCTGTTGTCTGCAGGCAGTGGGAAGCTGCGGCCCAGTCGAGTTCAGAGTGTGGTGTCCAGTCAGGGCAGCCTGGACTCAGACATGCTGGGTGAGACTCCACTGATTATGCGCACACTCGCTCACGCACTCATCTGTCCTCCTGCATCAACTCTCCTCCTGCATGTGTGTGTTTTTCAGGTTACGACGGTGGCAGCAGCGACTCGGAGTGTGAAGGACCCACGATGAACGAGCAGGAGAAGCAGACGCCGCTCATGCCTGATTTCTGGCTCATCATCAGGATCCATCAGGACCGGGTGCAGGTTTTCTCTCACTCCAGGTACACACTCACACACAGGCTGGCAGAATCATGTTTAAGCACTAAAACAAAACTTTTTTTTTTATTAATCAGTTTAACTCTGCTGTTATTTTGGGATTTCCGCCTGGATTTTGCCTGGCTTCCCAAATATGCCGAGCTAATGCGTTTCCCATGCTGATACACTTCCGGTGACCTGTTATCATGATTTTTTTCTATTTTATATGGTTCCTTTTAAAGCATCGATGTTGTAATGTAATTCAAATACAATCAGTTAAACAGACTTTGGCATCCATTTAGTTGCTCAAGCATATAACAAGACAAAAAGCCGTTTACTCGCACGTGCCTGTCAGAATCGGCAGGTAAGCGCAGAAGCTCCATTGAATATACTGGGGTAAAATAAATGCTCATATTATAAAGACATGGCGGGGAAATGTCATTTAATGCAGTGCTTCTTGTACAACCTGAGTCCCACTTTATATCGGATATCTCTCAGCCAGTAGAGATCGCTGATTTTTAAAGAAAGCAGACCTTAAACGCGCCGATTTTGCAATGGCATTTAGTTCGCCGGAATCGATTAACCCATGTTACTGGCAAATTAAAAGTCCTATTAGCATGCTTTGGCATATACCCTATTAGCCAGTTAAACTCTGCTGTTATTTGGGGATTTCTGCCTGGATTTTGCCTACCCAAATTTAAAAGCTTCCCAAATCCACATGCAGAGATGTAAATATATATATATATATATATATAAATTACATTTTCCCTGCCATGTCTTTATAATATGAGCATATATATATATATATATATATATATATATATAAATTACATTTTCCCC